GCGCATTAAAATCTCTCGCTCTATAATCTCCCTTGCTACTAAATAAAAAATATTTTTAGCTTTTTACTTTTTTTCCTTCAATCAAATTGCCGACAATGTTTGTATATTTACTTATGTGTGTCCATTATTTCTAAAACTTTTTGCCAAAATAACCCGTTTAAATATTAAAAATGATTTTTTTTTGTAATTTTTACCTGTTAATCATCCGTTTTTTATTTTTTATTCATATTCCTTCCTTAAAAAGCGAAAGAATATGAGTCAATTTCTTATTTCGATTTTTTGAGCTCCAAGAAAATAGTATCCCTGTATTAAATTTTATGTTATCTATAATTTTCCGGATTTATTAATTTCTGGAACTATTAGTGTTATATGTATTATTCTCTTAATATAAGGTTGTTGATAATTGGAAATCTTCAGATATCCGGATCCGGTACCCAATTAAAAATTTTCCGGATAAATGGCCTTTTTCGCATCCGGATCCGCCAACCATATTTTAATAGTTTCCGAAATCATTTTTTTATTTAAAGCTTTCAGGAACCATTAAAAATTCAAAATTTCAAAAATTCCAAAAATTTCAGAAAATTCCCTCTATTCATCATTTATTGAAAATATTTTTGTATTTTTAAAACATCCAAAACTTCTTAAATTTTTTAAAATCAATTTACTATAACTAAAGTTAAATTCATAGTTAGGTCAAAACACAAAAAATAAGTCTCTGCTAAAGCCATCTCTCTCTCATCTCTATTAGACCACTTAATATTTTTCTTCAAAGATTACATAATACTTATTAACAGTTTTCTCTTTGACTTGAATAAACTGTCACAAAAAGAAAGGAAAAGCTAAAAAAAATTTTTTTGTGTGTTACATCTAACCCAGGCTTTTCCTTTTCTATAGCGCACATGAATCTGGCGTATATATAGATATTTATTGCCCCATAGATATCATTAATATGTATCATCTATAAATTATTTATATTTACCCCACAATTTTACGGAAAAATGTATGTATACTTATATGCCAGGGGTGTGCGAGTTTCGCTTTTCGCATTTCGCGGATTTTCGCCTTTTTTGGACTTTCGCATTTCGCGTGTCGCTTTTTTTAAATGACTTTCGCTTTTCACATTTCGCTTTTTAAATTTAATTTCGCTTTTCGCATTTTGCGTTTCGCTTTTTAAAATCCGTTTCGGCACACCCCTGGTATATGCTTGTATTTCCGGAAATCTATGATACCTATCTATAGTCTTCCGGAATGTTTATAGTATATCATGATAATTTTCCGGTTGTATATTATATTTAAAACTTTCCGGAAATATATATGTCTAATAGTTTCCGTATAGTTATACTATTTCCGGAATGTTTATATAAATCTATTGTATTTAAAACTTTCCGGAACTACTAATATTTCTTTCCGGAAAAACATCTATTCAAACTTTCCGGATAATTATATTTGAGTGATATTTATATAAGTTTTCCGGAAATTATATTTTATTTAAAACTTTCCGGAAAAAATATGTATATTCAAATTTTTTTACGGAAAATTAGTATATTTCCGGAAAATTATATTTCCGGAATATTTATATTTATTTAAAACTTTCCGGATATATTAGAATAACTGTTACTATAACCTTCCGGTTGTATACGTTTAAAACTTTCCGGAAAAATATATATTCATATTTTTTGGTATTCCGGATACTATAATACACCTATTTGACTAATAAACCGTTTATATACTAATTGAGAGATTAGGATCAATTCTCGCAACAGATCAACCATTCTCCAAGTATCTCTTTTCAATAACCCTTTTTTCGAGCAAAGTACTTGACTAATTATTAGCTAATTATTAGCTTGTTTATTTTAGTTGTTTTCAAATTCTTTTGTTTTTTTTTGTAAAAATTGTTGCGAATTTTACTTTTTATTGTTGGGTGCTATCTGGGGGTTTTCAAAATTGTCTCTCTTAAAATCAATTTTTGATTTTTCTAGTTTCTTAAACTGTGTTTTGTAAAATAATTTTTATGCTTTTCCTTTGGTATTTTTCGATCACTTAACTAGGGTGACGATTTCGATTTGGGCCGACATTAGAGACGAATTTTCAGGCCTTATGTTATCGAATCTTGCCATTCGAATTTTTTCTGGCAAAATACGTTATCCCCAACTCGATTTAAGGATTCAGTTACCCCGTTTTAAAAATGGCAGGATATCCAAAAAAATTCTTCTCAGGATTCGCAGATCTCTCACCCTTTCAGACTATAATTTTTAATTTTTTTAAATTTTAATTTAATCCCATCTCCAATTCCTTCTGAAAATCTTGTTCTATAATTTTTTTATTTAAATTATCCCCTTTATTATCATACTCTAAATTTAATCTCTATTAAAAATTATATTTATACATTAATTTCAATTTATCCTCTTAATCCCAAAAATCTTTCAAGACAATAAAAAAATTATTTTTAAGCTAATCATGGATAAACATCATTTAAATTTTATTTTTATCAAAATATTCCTTATTTTAATATTATCAAATCCCATCTTCTGTCCCTTACCTCCATCACGTCCTCTAGTAAGGACCGTCATCCAAATAAAGATAAACCTCCCAGAATTGCCTTTCAATTCCGAAATGAATTTAAAAACAAGTAAAAACTTCAAAGAGGCAGCTAGAGATATAAATGAAGCTTTTGAACAGTTTTGGCAAAATGAGCCCTCCTATAGGAAATCAAACGTCTCCAGACTTCAACATGACCAAGTCCTTGGAACGTTGGCAACGATTTATTTAAATTTTGATTTGCCGTTGGATTCCTCGACTGCGGTTCTTCACCGATTGAAATGGGAGTTGTTCAGGGCTCTGAAGGATGGAAGACTTGGGAGGCTCCACGCCTCAGGGGATGGATTTGAATTTACGGCTATTGAAGGTGCAGAGAATGTGTTTAGTATTTTTTTGGCACTTTTTTTTAGCATTGCCCCTACGGTTTAGAAACCCCCGATCCCTCCTATAGGCTGATTCCTCTGAGTTCTGAGTTTCTTATATTTATGTATTTTCCCGTTTTCGGTCCCAATTTTTTATTCAAAAAAATTCAAATAAATTTGGAAATAAAATTAAAATACAAAAGAGCTTTAGTAATACATTAATATTCTTAAATCGTTCAAAGGACCCTTCTCGAGCCCCACACTTGCCTGCTTGGACGGTTCCTTGCCAGATTTCAGCATCCACGGCTCTACTTATTGTTGGTCTCACTCTGTTTGTCCTTCTAGAACGTCCTGTGAACATGGACAATGCTGCAGAAATGCCGGTAAAATTTTTAATAACCTTTATATCCTTTACATTAGAAAAATACCCGTAAGGATTATGTTCAAGTGGAGATGCACATTACATATTAATCAAAATTCTTTTATCACTATTGGGTCCAGATTAGAGGTCGGTGCGGGACAGGATCCCGCGAGGGATTTTGCGGGATCACTTTTTTATATTTGCGGGTTTTGCGGGAGTTCGGGATTATTCCCGCGGGATCTCACCCCGCAGACATTTTTAGAGTTATCCCCGCATCCGAAGATCCCACAGCACGATTTTTCTTACTTCTAATCCAGAAATAGCCTGATATTGTACTCATATAGTAAGTTACCTAATAGAGATCCAATTCTATCTAAAATTTGAATTAAACCATTGAGAACGTATTTTCAAAACAAAAACTTGATTTAATAAATTTACTATCCAATTTAAAAAATTAATAGAACCTCCATCTATTTAATTTTACAACAAATTTTATTTTAAAATTAAAAGAATCATTCCCTCGTCGCAACTGCGACCCGATCAAAGAATGGGAATGTGCAGATGGCTTGTGTATTCCAATATCTGCTAGGTGTGATGGAAAAGAAGATTGTGTTTTGGATGTGGAGGAAGGAGCTTTTGCTTTAGGAATGTTGCTACATAGGCCAAGTGATGAACTTTACTGTCCAACAGGCTAGTCTTTATGGCTTTAAACATGGACAAAAGTTGGGAAAGTAAAATAAATTATCAATTCCATGGGCAGGGGAATTTATTAAGCTGTAACTTTTTATGGTGTATATAATCAGAGATATCCTGTTAATTAAGCTCATCCTCGCATTACGACCTTTTTGCTTGGTGTATAAGACCTTTTGATTGGTGTAATAATTATTTAAATCGGTCGAGATTAAGATGGTCGAGTTTGGGTATAAAATAGGACCTCGAGACTGAAGCCTGAAGTCTCGATACTGATGCTCTACGTAGTCCGTTATAATTAAAATTAAAAGAAATAGTCATTATCCTTGATGGCCTTATTAGATTTTAGAATGTTTTCATTCTATGCGAACTATTGAAATTTCCTTGATAGAGATTTTTTCCGACCTCCTTCCGGTAGCAGATTTTTACCAGTAAGAAAGCATTCGGACTCTAGAAGTTATTTTAAATTTTAATTAAATGCGGGGAAAACTTAAAAATTAAAGGCGATTAAGTTAAAAAAAATTAAAAAATTAATTTTTAATAAATTTTTTGCTTCTCCCCCTCCAAAACATGCCCATTTTCTTCCTTCTTTACTCTTTGAAAAACACAAACTTTTCGTTTTTCTGGCCAACATCGTTCTATTTCCATTGCAACTTGTGTGTAAAAATAGCCGCAAGTAATTAATAAAATAAATGGCCAACGAAGGGGGACCTAAATTAATGTAAGAAGGATTAATCAAACAATAGAAGCTTTCTATAGGAACATCAAATACTAGAACTTGTGATTCAGATATCTGGATCCGAAAAAAGATCAGGAAATTTCTGGTTTAGATAACGGACCTGGTTATCTGGGGATTTCCTAGGATCCGGCAACTATGTTAATATCCTCTAAGAAAATATGTCTAAAAATTTAATTTCTTAAAATTGGGAAGATCATTGACATAAGGGACTTGTCAAGTGACGCTCTCCCCCTATAATGATATGTGATAGTGAGATCCGATTGTTAACTGGTTTAATAATTTTTTGATTTGTGTGTTTTGATATTTCCTTTTAACTAACCGTCTCCTCCCAAAATATTCTCTGAACAAATAACCACCCAATAGCAGATCCCCCAAGAAAATAAAAATTAGAATATAATCCAAAAGCAAAGGGGACAATTTGTAGCCATCCCAGCAATCGACGAAAATTTAAATCTGACAATAATTGTTTTCGAAAGCTTTGAACTTTTGGTATTGAATATATGGCTTTTGAAGTAAATCTGAGGGGGAAAAATGAAAATTAAGTAGATAGGTATAAGTAGGTAGGGTTGGCCCCTAACCCCCTATATTTTTGGCTAAAACTCCGATACAAAAATTTGTAACTCCGAAGGATCGGGGCCGAACTCAAGTCATAAGGGTAGGCGACATCAAAGCCTAGCTCGTATCTATTAGATAATTGTAAACTAGTCCGACTGGGACCTGGAAACTTGAACTTTTGCATAGGAATAGTTGAGGGTGTCAACTAATATCAGACCTGGTCACTGATACTAATTTTGGAAGACGTATCCGGATATTTACGGTGGATACAGGCGGATATCCGCAAGCAACTTGATATTATCTGTATCCATATCCGTAGCCATGACCAGGTCTGACTCATGTTCCTCAGAATATTAGATCTTTTTGTTCGGAATCTATGGTTAGGAAAATTAAGCATAGCTTGTTAACGTTTAAGACTTGAAGAGATTAAATTAAAAAGATTTACTCTATACTAAGCTCAACAATATTTAAGCCAATCCAGACAATATTGTGATGATAGAATCCATGCCATAGCAAAACAAAAGTAAAGGAAATGCACAGACCAACGAGTTTTCTGGGTAATGAAAATGTGGGCCAACAAATAGGTACAAAAATGTATTCCTGTATTTTAAGTAAGATTAATAAAGCAGACCATTTTGTCCCATCCCTTTGGTAAAGGCTGAAAAATGGACTGGGATATTTTTAAAATAGTGGATGTCTGGATTGGGATCCCAACCTCCGATTTAAGTAAAATTCATTCAGTTGGAATTGAATAAAATTGGGACTATTGGGATTGAGAGATTCTCTACTGGATTGAGAAATTGGGACCGAGATTCTCTACTGGGGTTTTTTGAAAAAAAATTTTTTTCAATTGCGTCTAGCCCAGACTGAGACCCAATTCCGACTAAAGATCGGGCAGGGATGATATCTCAAAAACCTTGGTCATTGAAATCTTTTAATACGAGGTTAGGTGAGAGTTATAGGTAAGTAGAAGTTTTTGCTTAGAAAACTAGTGGTTATTTGGAGAACCCTAAAGTTTTGATTTACCTTAAAAAACGCATACAATCCTCTGTCAAAACCTCTCCAAATTTTTGAATAAAGTGAAACACGAGATATACAAATAGGACCGTCTGGAGGTTCCATTCCATCAATTAGGGCAAAAATAGCAGGAAGTCCAAATATAACAACATATTTTAGGTGGAAAAAGGCTCCTTTAAATTTTAATTTATATTTATATTAACAAGTTTATACCGTCAACTCGGTTTAGTACCCTTGGGATGAGTTTGCTCCGGCAGAGAAGCACACTCGATTTTGGCATGGTAGGGGGCTACTATCAGAATAATATATTGCAACTCCCATCCAATGAATTTCTCCGACGTATGAACATTATAGTAGATATGTTCATGCTTCGAATAATCCAATCCCAAAGGCAACAAATGGGACGAAGATGTTAGGGCAAAAATAGCAAGGGGGTATTCTTAGCAAAAATTTTCTTCTTTTCCTGCTTATCTTCTCCAATAAATAATCAAAGATTTAGTACCTATAGCCATTCCAATACTAACAAATTGATCTTTGGGCAATTTCTGCATAAATTCAGTATCTAAAGCAATTGACCCGAAATATACAAAATGTAAACACAATTCACAGACTGCCCACCAAAAAGCAACACGAAAACATTTAAAAATTATTTTTGTCCAATTTCGATGTTTTGCATTAATTTCGGCATATTGTCGTTCAAATTCAGGGTAGAGGACAATTAGGGAGAACAGAAACGGTTGATAGAAGGTGTAAAACAACATTCTTTCCAACAAGTGAATTGGATGTTTTTGGTGTTTCTCTTGTATGTTTTGATGTTTCTTTTGTAGTTTTTGTTCATGTTTTTCTCTATGTTTTTCTTCGTTTTGTTTGTTTGGAAGTTTGTTTTGATGTTTGTTTTGTTGATATTCTTGTTGTGATTGATGTTTTTCACAATGTTTCTCATCTCTTCCAACTTGTTTCCCTTCTTGTTTCTCCTCTAAATGTTTTACCAACTCCAAACAAAAAGAAATATAAGAGAGTAGTGTATATGAAATGAACAACAAAACAAGAAAAACATCGTTGTGTATCCAATCGGTATGGTTCATTACAACATACAATATAGGTAAAGCACTAAGCCAAACAACAAATGTTTGTCTGTAAATGTTGTTAAGTTAATTAATGTTTCTGAACAAGTTTAATTGTATTTTTGTGTTTGTTTTGTGTTATATGTGTGTTTTTAAGTTGTAATTCAAGTTTTAATTAAAGTTTTAATTCAAGTTTTAATTAAAGTTTTAATTCAAGTTCTAAGTTTATTTATATTTGATCACTTATCAAATCGTCACATAGACTAAAATTTGCCATTTTGTCACAATGGGGATAATTATTAATTAAATTCAATTTTTATTATTTCTGGGTTACTATAAAATTTCTACTGTATTTACTAACCATACCTGAAATAAAGAGTAAACCCCAAAATAAGAAAGCCCTGCATAAGCGACGCAAGTAGCAGTCTCGGAGTAAACACCCACGCAGACCCAGCCATCGACAGCACCAAATAAATTTTATTCCAAATTCTTTCCGGAAAGAAAACCGGAAGAAAATTGAACAAAATAGAATGTCCAACAAGTAGAGGCAAGTATTGGCTAGTAGCGAAAGGGCTCCACCTAAACCATTCCCAATTAGATTCGTCTTTTATTTTCATCCCGAAAAAGGGCAAATTGCTGATTGAAGCTTGTGATCTGCCTATTTTAAATTCCCATTTTGAACTGGCTAGCCAAACACAAAACCAGGCATAAGCGACCGTTCCGAAGCTTATTAGCCAACATATTCTCATTTCCCATTTTGGCAGGGGAGGGTAATTGAATAGAGGAGAGGTTGATTTGTGGGGAGGAATTGAAGGATTTGGGGGATTTGATGGGTTAGGGGGATGCTGTTTGAATGAATTTTGTTGTTCTTGTTCAATTTTGTTGTTTAATCCGTTCTTATAACGATGGGTCATTTTAGTTTATTTAAATACCCTCAAGATACTTTCTGCCAAAAATTATTTTTAAGTTTAACAGAAATGTTCAGTATTTTTTAATTATTTTGCCTTTAATATTTTATTTTTGGCCTTATATTTATTTTTAATTTTTTAAATTTAAAATAGTATTGTGACTAAAAATCATAAATTTTAGAGATTTTATGACCCCCCCCCCCTCTTTCAAACTAAAAACCCACGAATGAGTATGGACCGAAACCATGGATTTTTAGTTCGATTTTCAAAAAAATATTTTTGATCGGTTTTCGGGTCGAAAAAAGACCGGGTTTCGGCTCTCGGGTTTCAGGTAACCCGACCCATCCCTGGTATGGACCGAGGAAACATGTATTTCTAGTTCGATTCTGAATATCTGGCAATTTTACAAAAGAGGATTTACATAGTTTTTGGTCTGAATTTAATCTGGATTTTATCTAATATTTAATTTTTTGATTCAAAAATTACATTAAGAAATGAGAGAAAAAATAAATAATTGAATTTTATAAAAATTATTCGTAAAAATTTTTTGATTAAAAATAAATGTTAGTTAGATTTTTTTATTCTTTCATTTATTAAAAATATTTTATTAAAAATTATTAAAGGCAAACAATCAAACATTTAATATTAAAGTGATACAAATTTGATCAAATAAAATAACAAAAAAACTTTTTTTTTCAATAGAAAAAGGAGTGAGAATTGGTGAAAATAGGTGGACAATGACCATTTTAAATGTCAACGGATTGGGGGAAGGAAAATTAGATTTTTGGTATGCGCGAAAACTTTTTGATGTAATTTTGCGATATTTCCCCGGCGGTGCTCTCCAAAAACAATTTTTTATTTTTCTGTTGGTAAAGAAAGGAAATAATTTTTGGGGGATCGATAGGAGAAAAATAAATATTTTTGACGATCAATTCAACTAAAATGGAAGGGATGAATAAAAGAAAAAAAAATTTTTAGAAAAATAATTTTCTATGGGAAGGGGGTGACCTTTGTTGAGTAATAAAAGAATGAATTTTTGTATTCATTTTTTGAGAAAAAAATTTTTCAAGAGAAAATTAATGGGGAAATGAAAGATAGAAAAAGCCGGGAGGCATTGGAAATCGAAAATTAAAAAAATTCCGAAAATTAGAAAATTTGGAAATAATAAACATTCGGAACAAGCAGACGGAGAATAGGAACACTGGTGGGTATTGAGCATCTGTTGGCTCCGGCTCTTGGCCCGTGCTTATAAAATCTTAGCTCCGGCTCCGGAGCTAGCTCCCGGAGCCTTACCCAGCAAAACTGAATAGAAATTCCATAGACTTCAGGAAAAAATGAAAATCGTAAAAGAATATTGGTTTTTCGCCCTAAAATTACGGGCCTTGTCATTGTCTGGGTTGACAGGATTTCCGTAATTAATCCAAGTAAAATCCCTTCTCGTTCAAAAATTATAAGCCAACTCCGTTACGATATTCCAGGATTGCGATTTTACCGACTAGTTTACATAGATTCCCTGTCATTTAAGAAAAATATTTAAACTAAACTAAATTTGGAAAATCATATAAAAATTTCAGCAAATGAGAAACACTCAGTTCAATCCTTCTCTGCTTCAAAACCTTCAGAAATAAAGCTCCAACAAAAACGACAATCTTGCGATTCAAACTCATTCATGTGCCGCAAAACTAAGGCTTGCATAGATAACAAACTTGTTTGTGATCATAAATATGATTGTACGGATGGGTCAGACGAGTTAACTTGTGGTATGTTTGAGAATATTTTTTACATCTCACAATGGTCTGCAGTCCGCAATTTTCATTATAAAATCCGCAGCCGCAGTCCGCAAGTCAAAAAACCCACCAATTCACGCAGTCCGCAATCCCCAATTGCGTGCAACCCTGTTAGTGATCCATGGATCACCAGAGCTGAAGGATCTTATCTTATAATGAGGGGTATTAGTACCAAACGCAACGCGAAGTAGAATGACGGAAGGGTCCCTATTCTTCGGAACATAGAATGCGGAAGGGATGGGCTGTCTACCACAATTTAATCATACAAAACTTTTAAAATTTTTATTTCAAGATTATTTTATAAACTCACAAATGCGAGAAAAAGCTAGGCTACTTAAAATAGAAGAAGAAGAAGAAAAATTAAAAAAAGAAAAAGAAGGGCAGTGTGGGCCTGAACAAGTCAGATGCCCTGAAACAGCTCCAAATCGTTGTATTCATTATAACTCAATATGTGATAATAAGGATGACTGTGGGGATGGGTTTGATGAAAGCAATTGTAGAAATGGTGGTGGTGAAAGCAGGGATGAAGAGAAAGTAATTACAATACGTCCGGAAAATGTGATAAATGGCTATGTATGTTAATTTAAGGAAAATATAACATAAACTTGGAATATCATGAAAATAAACTTTAAATTATAAAAATAAGCTTGGAATACAAAAAAAATAAACTTGAAATATAAAAATAAACTTGTGATAGGAAACACTAAACACAGAATTTCTGTTTAATTATTCTACAGTTACTGTAGAAAAGGTGCAAAGGATACCCAAAGATTCTTAAAATCTAGGCCTTATTTTTCATTAAATATGGAAAAAAAATTAAAATTTTTTATAAAAAATTTTAATTGCTCTTTAGTGTGCTCCAGGTGAATTCCAATGTCGTGAAGGTGGTTGTATCCCAGCTTCTAGTCATTGTGACCAAAAATATGACTGTGAAGATGGGTCGGATGAAATGGAATGTAGTAAGTTCATAATATTTCTAAACATGCTATAATTTATTAGGTAGAATATTATCGAAATAAAATAAACATGAAATACTATAAAAATAACTATGCAGAAAGAAAATAACTATAAATTATATAAGAAACTGAAATAGTTACAAAAATAAACTTGAAATTACGGATATAACTCTAGAATTAAAAATAAACTTGAAATATAAACTTGAAATGCAATAAAAATAACTATGAAATATAAAAATAAACTTGGAATATAAAAATAAACTTGGAATATAAAAATAAACTTGGAATATAAAAATAAACTTGGAATATAAAAATAAACTTGGAATATAAAAATAATTATGAAATATAAAAAGAAATTTGAAGTTAAAATAAAATAAACTTAAAAATAAATGTGGAATATAAAAATAAACTTGGAGAAACATTAACAAACTTGAAATATAAACTTGCAACTTATTTTCATTTTACTTCCAAGTTGGATAAAATGTTTAATTAAAGGTTATTTTCGAGAAGCTGAGGAGAGACGAAGAAAAGAAGAAGAAGAGCAAAGACGAAGGAAAGAACAAGAAGACGAGCAAAAACGAAGGCAGGAACAAGAAGACGAGCGGAAACGATTAGAAGAACATCAAGCACAAATACAGCGTCAAAGGGCAGAGCAAGTAAATTAATTTGGAAAATTTTCAAAATTAATTTTATCAAAATTAGGAGAAAAATCGAAGAATTGAAGATTGCAGGCGTAGAGGGGGATATTTATGCCCAGACACGGATAGATGTATTGAAAGGGCATATGTATGTAATGGACGTTCTGACTGTCCCAATGGTGATGATGAGAAAAACTGTCCTGTATCGGAAGAAGTACCGGGTGGGTTTTTAATTTTTATTTGATAGGGTAAAGAGAACGCTTAATTTTATTAAAATATAAAAATAAACTTGAATTTCTAAAAATAAACTTTAAATATAAAAATTAAACTTGAAAATAACTATAAAGACTAATTAAACTTAAATATAGCTATAAAATATAAAAATAAACTTGAAATAGAGAAACGTTTTCTAAAACTTGAAATATAATAATTAAACTTTGATTATAAAATTAAACTTGAAAATAACTCTAAAATATAAAAATAAACTTGAATTCGAAAAATAAACTTAAATATGTAAATTAAACTTTAATTATTAAAAATAACTATAAGTAAAAAATAAACTTTAAAATAAACTTGATTATTATTCAAGCATATTTTCCGGATACCTTTCCGGATGCATATTTTTATATTCCACAACTATAAAAGTTTTTTCGTCTCTTATTTTTTAGTACTATCTAATTTTTATGAAAAGTTATTCTCTACCAGTGTAATTTTAGTTTAAAACATTTTTAGCCGGAATAAAGCATTCCCAGACAATATTTATTACATTAATATTTAATCAACATCCTTGAATTTTTCCTTGGGTTTTTTTAATTTTTTTTATTTTTATATTTAATCTGAACATTTCTTGAAATATATAATTCTTTTTTAAATTTTCAAAAATATTTTTTCTCTCCATTTGCAAGCATAGCAGGTGTTTAGCACAAATGCGGCTGCTAATAAACCTTTGCTGTTCCAGATATATTTTTTTATTATTTTATAAATCTTCCCCCTCAAGCTGATTTAAAAAATATCTTTCATTTATTCCCCAAAATATTTATTTTTTGTTTTATTTTCGCATAGTCAGATCAAATTTAATTCTATTAAAATTTTCCGGATTTTAGTGTCCGGAAAATAAGGAAATTATAGTAAAAAATCGTTTTTATCAAGCTTTATTGTCCTTGATTTTTCGAAAAATAATTTTTTTAATCTAACTTTATAAAATTTTTTATCTACTATGTATGTACTTTTTTTGTTTGATTTTTTCCGCCTTCACGCCTCTTAAAAAATTTTTTCTTAGTTAATTATCCAAAAATCTGCTTTTCCTCGCTTGGATGGCCAAATATGTTTAATGTCTTCATTCCGTTAAAAAATAGAAATGGATGTTTTATGTACTTTATTATTGGGTCTATTAAATTTAAGAAAACGACAAAAAATATTTTGGGCGTTTCCTATTTATTTTTCATTATTTTCCATTTCCTTTTAAAAGATTTCCTGAAGTTAATATATAGGCCTAGGTAATATAGTGTTTCCGGAACTATAAAACTTTCCGGAAACTTATACGTATAAGTAATATAAAGAGATTCTGGAAAAATAAAAAATTCCGGAAATATATAAACTTACCGGAAACTATTGTCTAAATAGATGAATTAATAAACTTTCCGGAAACTATAGCCTTTTTTCCGGAAAAATTAATAAAATCATTCCGGAAAGTATAACCATTCAAGAAAACTTTCCGGAAACTTATAGCTATAAGTAATATAAAGAGACTATGGAAACATAAAAAATATTCCGGAAATATATAACCTTCCGGAAACTATAATCTAAATAAACTAATTAATAGAATCATTCCGGAAATATATAAAACATTCAGAAAATATAATATTTTCCGGATTTCCTCCCTAAAAAGACCTTCCTCTCATTGTCTGGCATCTTTCAAATTATTTCACTGAAAACTACCCCAATGCCCTCTGGCAAAATCAAATCAGCTGCTCTCGTACAAAATTAGCGCGCTCATCTCAGTGTGTTCAAAAATTTTTTAAAAACTTGAAATTCAGACAACCCCTCTCTCTTTTATTTTAATTTCCGTTTTAAACCATTACGTCTCAATCATTTGCAATTAAAAAGTATTTATTTTAAATTCTTCAACCAATTTTTATTTTTATTTTCCCGCTAATTTTCCCTTCCTTTTTTTTCGATTCATTGAGTTTAAATAATGGAAAGAAATTTGTACGTGAAAAATTGAGAGAGATGGTGGGAGACTGGTAAATGTTGATTTATAAAGTAAATAAAATCAAAAATAAATTCTTAACCACATTGATCGAACTGGAATCTGTTCAAGTTACGGTCATGTTAGACCGAGACAGAAGTACCATTGGAATAGAGCATGTTCCAAAGTTTCGGATAATGCCACTAGAACGTAGTCTAGAGATGCTAGATACGTTTTATTATTATAATGTGAATGGACTGTTAAAAGTTCCGTACGGTTTCCAGGTCGAGGTGCTTTCAAAATGTCTTCTAATTGTGTTTGGAGTCGAGAAACGCCTGGGTTTCGGGTATCAAGTAGCCCATCTCATCCCTGCTTTGATTCTTCACTGTATGTAGTCCAAAATTTGACTTAGTCTCCGTTGTGGCACAAATCTTTTGTTTACTTCCTTCTGCTGAGTTATTTAGGATTTTAGGGGTTTTCTAGGCTAATCTCCTTTTAAGGATCTTATAAATCTTGTCGTTAATTTTAAAAACGGATAATCCTCCTCTTGTTGATCTCCTGGGAAGATCCTCTTGTCTGTTGGATATATGGAGATGTGTGAGAATCATCGGCAAATAATGGCGAATTAGTCGATTGATAGAGAGAAGTAAATATTTTATAGATGAGAAAAGTTGTTACAAATTCTGTTTTGATGTTTTGTTTATAGCGAGCTACAAAAACAAGTTTCAGTGTTTTTGTGTCCATTTGCTGCAGCATTACTTCTCCTCCATCTCCTTCTTCCCCTCGTCCCGTTTTGGTAATTTTCCTTATTCTCCCCCTAATAAGTGATGGTGTCAAACCGCTATAATTCAATGAGAGAATGTCTTTTTCGCTATGTGTGGCGAGGAAATGAGAGAGAGAAAGCGTCAGTCTCTCTCCTAAGGGTGGTGGGAGGGTGCGCAAGAGAGGTGGCAACAAAAAACTGGAAGGTGGTCCCACACTTTTTAATTGTCGAGAAAAATGTTGTCATCAATGATATTGGGTGTTTGTTTAAAATTAACAGTTTTTAGAAGAGAAAAAGTTGACCGCAGTCCCCAAATTTCTTTAAAAAATTGTTTCAGCTGTTAAATACTTTTATTTTTAATTTCTTCAAATTTTTTTGATAATTTAATTGACATTTTTTATTTATTATTTTAATTTACTTAATATATATTTTTTTATTAATTTTTATTAGCATCCGGAATTTACTATATCTTTGAGTTATACGTTATTTTAAGTTGTAATTTCTTCCGGAACGTTTCTCTATTGGATTAATTTATAAGAATATTATATTTCCGGAAAGCTTATAGTCATTATTATATTACACGTTAAGGTTATTATAGATTCCGGAAGGATAATGTATAAATTCAACATTATTTATTTAATTTTCCGGATTTTATTTTTATTTTCCGGATTGTATTTATATTTTCCGGAAAGTTATAAATTTTATTATTCCTTCCGGAAATATAAATTATATTAGCTTTCCGGAAAGTTAAAAATATTTTTCCGGAAAGTTTTAAGTATTTTCCGGAATGTTATAAATATTTATATATTTCCGGAAACTATATTTTTCGGAAATATATTATAACTTCCGGAATGCTTTTTTCTATCAACCGGAAAAGTCTATCGCTAATTCCCTTTAAAATCCAGTTCATTCTTTATAGCAATTAATTAAATACACACTTTCTTGAGTATTCCAAGTCTTATTTTTCCCACCTAAATTTCTATTTGAAACAACTGACTTTGCGGTATTTATAAACAAAATCAAAAACAATTTTCCCGTTTTAACTACATTCTTGTTAACTTTTTAAGCAAATCAATTTGTTTTTTTACTCCAAAATAAAAATTAGATTAATTAAGTTGTGTGCAATTTATGCGCATTTATACAAATAAAATTAAAATATAATTAATTAAAGTTGCGAAAAAATATTTTTTTTTACTTTCACGAAAAAAAGGAATTTTTTTCTAGAGCAAAAGTGCATGATTTTTATTTTTCTTAAATTTTTTATTAAATTGTATTAAAAAATAATATTATTAAATATAGTATAATAAATATTATGTATTAATTTCCGGAAACTACATATATTTCCGGAAACTATATTAATTTTATTGTAGTTATATAAAGATTATTTTTTATTTTCCAGAAAGTCTAAATTTCCGGAAAAGTTTTAATTTTAGTTGTTATCCCTTTCGGAAATTAATATTTCTTGTTATTAAAGTTTTCGGAAACTTTTATGTATTTCTGGTTATTATAATTTCCTGAAAAGTTTTTATTACTAGGTCGGTTCTAGAAGGGTTTATTCGCGTCCATATTACTTCCACTATTATTATCTTCCTAATAACAATTTTATTTATCAATGGCTTATTAATTTTTTATTATAATGCGGAAAGCTTCTGTTATTCAAATAGTTTCTATCACAATCAAATTTTTATTTCAATTATTTCGTACAAAATTTGACTTGTTTTTACTAAATACATTTAATTTCACTTGATTAAACAATATTTTTAAAAATAATTTGTAACCTATCTACAATTTTTAAGGTTGATAGACATCCTTTCTATCATTTTTCCTTCTCTTGCGGTTTTTACAATGATTAAACACACTATTAATTAGAGGAACTGAAATTGACACGATAGGGAGAGTGTGAGACTGATTGACCCTTTTTTTGTTTAATTAAGCAATGAATGGCCTCGAATTAACGCAGAAAATTAATTTTTTTTATTGTATTATTTAAAGTATTTATTTTTGATTTTATAGTGATATGTTGAATTATAGTATAATACCTATTTTTAAAGAATTATTTTTCCGGAAAGTTTAATTAATTTATTATTTTTCCGGAAAGTTTATATTTTTATTTAATTTTTTTCATTGTATAACTCTAATATTGTCCGGAAACTTTCCGAAATTCTACCGTTAGTATAGAATATTTTCCGGAAAATTTATATTTCCGGATTTTTTGCTTAACTTTTTATTTAAACTATGGATTCCGGAAAGTTTTTTTAGTAGAAAATATTTTCCGGAATTTATATTATAATAC